GCCTCTTCCTCCGGCTCGGCTGGCTCGGGGAAGCTGAAAAGGTCTGCTGGCTCGTCGTCGTCGTCGATTGTGGTTTCGCCTGCGATTTCCACAATGACTTCGACTTCTTCGTCGCCAGGAGACGGCCGCGTCCACAACGTCTCGTTGCTCTCTGCATCTCTGACATAGAGGACACACTCGCCAGGGACACGCTCGGAGCACAAGATGCCTTCGGATTCTGTTTCGAACAGATACGCATGCTTGAGCACTTCGATGGTGTCGAAGACCAATTCCACGTGGAGGTTGGCTCGTACCCCAGCTTTGTTGCCAAGCTCAGCCAGGGTGGCTTTCGCAAAGTAGCAATGATACTTGCCGGAGTGGCGAAAGCCTGGAACCAAACCGTCCTCGAGGATGTTGAACGCCGCATCATGAGTAGTGCGGTGGTAGAGCCTGTTGGGGAATCCCTCATCGCCTCGACAAAGGAATGGCCTGCCTTTATAGGCGGCTGGAATCCTGTCGATGCCCCTTCGTCTGGGATCGAGCCACTTCGTTGCGATAGAGGCGTCATCGATCTCAGCCTGAATGCGGGCACTGTGGCCATGACTGGCGGACACCCAGATTGGCCATACTCCACCGTCGACGTACTCATTCCTGGGGTCATCAGAGTGGCCGGCGAGCAAGTATCTGCATTTGTTGTCATACGCCACGACAGCAATGAACATGCGGTGGCCGATGACAACNNTTGTGCTTGCGTTTCAGGAGGAACAAAAGTTCTTCCAGCCGGATCCACTTCCCCATGCGGCTTCTGCACTCCATGATCGAGCCTCTGACAACCCCGATGATCCATTTGCCGTGCTTGTCAACATACCGCGGCGGCTTCAGGATGTAATCCATCGGGATGTCTGGCTGCTTGATGGTGATCACTTTTTCGTGCTCTGGATTGTCACCAGCGAGCCGGGCGAACGTGTTGTCGTCCACCCCGAGCATCTCGTTGAGGTAGCCATCGTCTTCAACCTTGTACCCGACGAGGTCGTTTGGGTTGACATTCGACCTTCGGCCACCGCTAGGCGGGGCTGCAGATGAACTGGCTGGTTCCGCAGCTGGCTCGGGTACACGAGCTGCCTTAGCTGCCGAAAAGGTTCGGCTCGCCTCGGTTCTGTACGGAATAGCGTCGATCACCTCATCGAAGGAAGCTGTCACAACCGGCGGGGTTAGTTCCGAAGACGAGGCGGCCACAGCTGGTGCTGGGCGGGATCGGCCTTCAGAGTACTCGGCCTGTTTGGCATCCAGGTCCCGCTGTACTCCATAGTGCCAGTCCCTTAGCTCTGCCGGGACATCGGTTGCCTCCATCCCCGTGACGGCCTCTTCCGGCTCTGGGATCCA